TATGTATGTGGTTCAGGGACTTGAAGGATGCAGCTTTTGTGAGTCATCATCTATGTCAGAGTGAGCTGTCAGTAAGGCACCTACCTGACCCACTCATGATGCTATGAGCACGACTCATCTATAGTAATATAGGAAATAGGAAACTGTTTCTCAGTAAGGGATTTAGTATAATTCTTCTTTGTTTTCTATTTTTTTTTGTGTGTCTAGGATGAATAGACAATTAGTATTTAAATCTCCCAGGATAAATTCACACAACTATTTACTATAGAGTTAGATGAATGAAAAACATAGCTTTATTCTTTTAGTAGTTTTTAGCCTTTCTTTAAAGTCTCAATCTTGATATGCAAGATCCTTGAGAATCAAAATAATGCCATTACCTGTAAGTATAACCATTGCAAGCATGCTTGTGTTATACTAGACATTCTACTAAGTTCATCTAATTCTCAATAGACAAGAGAGTGGTGATGTTACCCTTCACTGCACACCATGGAGAAATCAACTTCAGAAAGATCATCTTGGCTCTAGTCAAGACTCAGACAAACTACATGGAAGAGATGGGCTGAAACGAGATCTGGTCCTTGGCAAAACTATAGAGGACTCCTATCTATGAATCTGTGAGCTGAGCAATTATACTGAATAAATGAGATTAATACTACAACAAATAGAATCTACTTTCTTCTGCTTCTCCCCTACGTACTTTCCTATTCTGAGAAATATACACATATTCATTTATTCTATTGACTCCTGACATCATTCTTCTTAGCAACAAAGACAATGGGTTGGATGATGTAGCTAGAAGCAATTTGGCATAGCATGTCTTATTTAGCCTGAGTAGATGGTGAGTTTGTTAGGATGCTTTCTTCTTGGATTGGATATGAATCAACTCATAAAAGGTACTACCTTCATTTCAAGCCTTATTTTATTATCAGGTATTTAAGTTCGTCACAAATGCAATGAATTGTGCAACAATGTTGATAGGACTGGAAGAGACATTTTGATAGAGTTGTACCCAAGGTCAGTCTAAGAAGCATGCCCATTTCTGTGATGCTTTACCCTCCATGACTCCCATCTTAGAAATTACTGTGCCTTATTCAGTTTGTCTTGTTGAAACTGAAAAAGGGGAAAATGCTGTTGGAGGGGTCATCTTAGTCTGTTGCTTTATATCTCAGTGCCAGTTACATTTGCAGATATCATCTTGCCAAGGCAATAAACACAACATTTTCATTTTTGTGTAATTCAGGTGAGCAATGAATGAATGAATGAATGAATGAATGAATGTTTTGGTTAATCATTTCCATTGTTTTCTATTTAGTTACTATGATAAAATATCCCAGCAAAATCAACAGGTAGGAAAGGGGTGGGGTAGGGAAAGGGGATAACATCTGAAATGTAAATAAATAAAATATTGAATTATAAAAAGGGCTTATTCAGATTACAATTCCAGGTTAGACTCCATCACTGGGTAAGGAAAAGGCAGGAACTTGAAGCAAGTCTTCATATCTACAGTCTCAAACACAGAGAGAATGTGTACCTGAATATTTACAGTTAACTCATCTTCCCATCTGTTTTACAGAGGAACCGACAAACAAATGCTCATTTCCTCTAGAAAATTGCCTTTATGTCTGTATCCCTGAATAAGTTCAGAGTCTATCTTTTCCAATTGTCTCTTTTAGTATCCTTGTGGCCAGCACTGAATTGGCCAAATATAACCCTAATTTACCAAAAATTGGTACATTTATGATTTTTCTATTGTTATGAAAAATCTTTGTACCTCTTTATCCCTCTCCATTTCCCTTCTTTTAACCCACTCCTTCCTTCCCTCCTCTCTTTTCTTCTATCTTTGAATATTTAACAATTTATTTACAAAATCCTATGAATGACTTTGCCCAAATAATTAAATAGCCTACAGAAGCTTACTGTCTGTCATAGTAAATATTAATTGTTAATTTGACAAATCTGGAATTCCACAGGAGACAAGCCTCTGGCATGTGTGAGAGGGAGTTTCTAGATTGTGTTCATTAAGTTGGGAAAATCTACCCTAAATGTGGCACCATTTTCATTAGGGTTTCTGGACTTAATCTAAAGAGAGAGAGAGAGAGAGAGAGAGAGAGAGAGAGAGAGAGAGAGAGAGAAAGAGAGAGAGAGAGAGAGGAGACTATTATTATTAGTCCCAATGATGCAATTATTCTTCAGCTACATAATATACTTTAAAAGCTATATTCCATAAAATCTCTTGTATCCTGCTAAGTCAGTGCACTGGACAACATGACAATATTACAAATGTTCCTAACTATCATGGTGACAAAACCCTGTTGAGTTACAATATTGATTCTGAGAATCCATCAAGAAATGAGTCATTGGTCAGCACTTTTCATACTGTCACATTGATGAAAGAAGGCAGTGCCAGGAACTGCGTCCTATTTTATAAGATACAGCCTGTACCTAGTATGCAGAAAGTACTCACGTTCACAGTAGAAGTCTGTAGATGTGAGGAGTTGGCTCAAGACACTGAGTCTACATTTCCTAGTGATATATTCTAACATAGAACTGTAAACTGAATAAGCCCTTTCTTTCCTGCTGCTTTTTTTGGAATATTTTTATCACAGCAACTAGACAGGAAACTTGGGAAATGAATAAGCAAAATATTTACTCATTCATTTATTGCTCTGATGAATTAAACACAAATGAATATGTTGGGAATAAAATTGCTATTGGCCAGATGACATTTACAAATGTACCTAGAACCGAATGTTAAACAGTGAGACATAAAGTAGCAGACTAAAATGACCTCCACCAGTGTTTTTCCCCCTTTTCAGCTTCATCAAGACAAACTCATTAAGTCACAGTACTTTGTAAGATGGGATTCACTGGAGAGAGAAGAATAACAGAAGTGGCATCCTCATTAAACTGACCTTGGCTACAACTGTTTTAAGATGTCTCTTTCAGTTCCATCCATATGCTTGCACAACTCACTGCATCTGTGGTCAATTTAAATGTCTGGTGATAAAAGTTGGAAACAAACCACTGCTGCTTCTCTTCACTTTTAACTTGGACAAAGTTTATCTTATCAATGTTCTTGTAATAGTTGGGTAGCTATAAGCATGTAGAAAACAAGTCCTTTAGATTCTACTTTAGCCAAAATTATTCATAAATGCTACCTGACAATAAATTAGAATTTAACATGGAGTATAATTTACTAAAATTGCAAAATACTTGAACTGATTCCAGCAAAAAGAAGACACTAAAGCTTGATGACTAGTAGACTTCTTACAAGAAATAAAATATGATGTTTAAATAGACTAAGGATGCAAAATAAATTTAATTTTTTTCAATGGTAAATCATATTACTTTCAGGAGTTACTCATTAAGTAAAGAACCCATAATTATAAGAATGTTTTAAATCATTCAATATTAGTTTCTACTGGATATATAAAACACAGATAATGAAGATACATGTGTGTTGGGTGATGAAATAAAATCTGATGTTCTTATATTCTAGTATCTCCATTCATTTAGCAAGTATGGTTTCAGTTATGACATTTGCAGATTCAAAAGTTACAGAAGCCCAAATATAGAGGAAACAAATAAGAAACATACATAGAATGAAAAGAGAGTTGCATGGCTGGTGGTGAGCTGAAAAGTGTGGGTGTCAGTAGAAAACAAAGGTGGAGAAAAACATGCATAATCATTATTCTGTAATTTACTTACAGCTCTGTCTAAGCATCTAACTTCGAGTTTTACATAGAAGCACACACCCTTAGCTTTTGCAATATTATGCTAAATCAACATTTATAACCCTAACTTGTATTCATAGCTCTGTGTTAACAGTTCTGTAACTCATTTTTCAAATTATTGTTTCCTAAATTATAGTGCAAAGATTGGCCTTATTGTCAGACTTGGTCTAAAATACCTAAAATATTCTCCAATTTCACACACAGGCTAATATACATGCATATACATGAAGTACACACACATGTACACATTAGCACCATAAAAAGCAGCAAAATATTTCAATCTCTACTATCAGACAAGAATGCCTCAATAGAATTACTTTCTCCATGGTTATTGATGGAGGAAATGAGGGAGGAAAAAGAGAAAAAGAGACAAGGAAATAAAGGAAAGAAAAAAAATTCAGACCATGATTTCTGAATCTAGCCATTCCCATTACTATCAGTGGCCACCTTTACAGAGAGTATATTGGTGCTAGTGCTCACTGAGAGAATGAGCAGCTCAGAGATCAGGTTAGTTCTCTGGGTAAAATCAAGGCAACTCTTACTGAGTGATGTGTTTTCATAGAATATCAAAATATGCCTAAATTTTAAAGGAGCAGTAAAGCTAGAGATACAGAATATTTGCCTCCTATACATGAAGCTTTAGGCTTGATCACAAGTTATGCATACATGAGGCATGCTGGTGAACATGTGCAATCCCAGTATTTGTTCAATTCATGTTTATGCATACCTGAAATACCCTAACATTAATTACTAATTAAGAAAATATTCTACAGTATTATTTTTCAGTACAAATATATGGTGTCACTTTTTCAATTGAGAGTTCCTCTTTCATGCAACACTAGTTTGGGTTGGGATGACACAGAACCAAGTTAGCACATGGCCCAATATTTACTACTGAACAGTGACATTAATTGGTTTAGTCAAACGGGATCACAAAGAAGTGTGATGAGCTGGAAAATCTATACGTATACTGTAAACTTTTATTACAGTGATCCAAAACATAAAATTACATAGGTGTCTGAAAATAAAAACAGAAAAAACAGTATAAGAGAGCAAGAGAAGAACCCTAAATTTGTGAAAGAGTATAAAAACTATTGTGATAAACTTGATGCTAGGATATACAATTTATAAAATTAAATTTATGGTGCTAAATAACAATATCTTCAATGTCTCCTAGTTGTAAAACAGTAGGAATTGTCTTTGAGGCAGAGGACAAAGCCATTCTGTAAGTATTTAGCATGAAGTATAATCTATGATGTCTCTTACCTACAAACAACTGGCTATTCAGCTGAAGCCGAAAATGACTTTCCTCTGAGGCCTCCCTCATACTCTTTGGAAGGTTGTCCACCTGCAATGAAATCTCCTTGATATTTCTCTCAGCCTGGATATAATGCCATTGGTTGTCATTCAGAGGATAAGGAGACTGGACAAGGAGCTCGATAGGACCATCCCCAACATCAATGGCGAATATGACCTCAGAAGGAGCTGAAGCAAAATGGAAGAATTATAAAAACACATTGTCAGTGTGTTACAAGCACAAACATGTTCCTAATGTTTAGTGAAAGGAACAATATGTCTTAGTGAATGTGAAGAAGACATTTCTGATCTCCAATAGCACTGGATCACTATCACCATTATCAAACTCTAAAGACTAAAGATGTATGTGCTCTTTGCCCTTCCTATTTCAGTGGTTCTCAATTGTTCAATACAACAGGGACCTGGGGTATCTGTGCCTGTTTGAAGCTCTACTGAAGTTCTAAGTTTCTTGATCTATCCTAATTTTACCAATGTTTTACTGAACACATGAGGTTAGCTAAGCATCACTAACATGCAAATATGATATCTATATTCTGGATATTTATGCCCAAATGTAAGGGCAACTGCATTTTTAAAAGAAATATTATTAAAGCTTAAATAACATGTCAAAACTTGCACATCAGTAGTAGGAGACTTCAACACCTTACTCTCACCAGTGGACATAATATTGAGACAGAAACTAAACAGAGAAATAATAACACTAACTGATATTATGAATCAGTTGGACCTATCTACAGACTGTTTCACCCAAACACATGCAAAATAATACCTTCCTCTCAGTACTTCATGGTACCTTCTCCAAAACTGACCATATATTTCATCAAAAAGCAAGCCTCAACAGATACAATAATAGATGGAATTCAAAAACAATAGAAATCTTAGAAACTCATTGAAACTGAACAATAACCCACTCAATGATTAAATTACTGGGTCAGGGAACAAATAAAAAAATATTTAGAGACTTTCTAGGACTAGGATTCAATGAAAATGAAGGCACAATGTACCTAAATTCATAAGACGTAATGAAATCAGAACCAACAGGAAAGTTCATAGTAGCAAGTGCCTTGAGAAAAAAATTGAGAATTCTCATACTACAAATTAAAAATTACAGCTGAAAGTTCTAGAGAAAGAAGAAGAGGAAGAAGAAGGAGGAGGAGGAGGAGGAGGAGGAGGAGGAGAAGAAGAAGAAGAAGAAGAAGAAGAAGAACAACAACAACAACAACAACAACAACAAAAAAGAAGGCACATCAAAGAGTGGTGGAGGGCAGAAAACAATCAAACTCAGTGCTGAGATCCATCAACTAAAAGTAAAGCGAACAATATAAAGAATCAACAAAACCAAAACTTGTTTATTGAGAAAATCAAGAATATAACAAACCTTTAGCCAAACTATCTAAAAGATTAAAAGATAGTATCCAAATAACAGAAACAGAAAGGTAAAGGGAAGTGTAAAAGCAGACACTGAGGAAAATAAAAGAATTATTAGATCTTACTTCAAAGCCTATACTCTACAAAGTTCAAAAAATCTAAATGAAATAGATGGTTTTCTAGACAAATACCACTTACTAAAGTTAAATCACGATCAGGTAAACTTCTTAAATATTCCTATGACTGCTAAAAAATAAAGAAACCATCATTAAAATTCTCCCAACCAAAAATAGCCAGGGCCAGATGGGTTTTGTGCAGAGTTCTACAAGACTTTCAAGAAGATCAAATACTAACACTCCTCAAACTATTCCATGAAATAGAAATAGAAGGAACATGGCCTCACTCTATAAGGCTACAGTATCCCTGATACCCAAACTATACAAAGAAGTTCAACTAAGAAAGAGAATTTCAGAGAAATTTCCCTTATGGTAATTGATGAAAAATACTCAACAAAATACTTGCAAACTGAATCCAAGAATACATTCATGATATCTTCCACCATGATCAAGTATGATTTATCTTAAGTATGCAGGAATGGGTCACTATATGAAAATCCATAATCAACATAATCTACCATATAAAAGAATTGAAAGAAAAAAATCACATGATCATCTATCTAGATGCTGAAAACACTTTGAAAATATTCCAACACCCCTTCATTTTAAAAGCCCTGCAGACATCAGTGATACAATGCACATACCTAAACACAGGAAAGACAACATGCAGCAAGCCAATAGCCAACATCAAATTAAATGAAGAGAAGATTAAAGCAACTCTACTAAAATTGGGGACAAAGCAAAGCTATCCATTTTATCCATATCTATGCAGCATTGCACTTGAAATTCTAGCTAGAGCAATTAGAAAACTAATAAAGATCAATGGGATAAAAATTGGAAAGTAAAAAGTCAAAGTATCACTATGCCCAGATGATATGTAGTATAGATAAGTGACCCCAAAAACTACTAAGGAACTCCTACAGCTTATTACCACCTCCAGCAAAGTGACTTGATACAAAATCAACTGAAAAAAAATCAATAACCCTTCTTTACACAAATGATATATGGGCTGAGAACAGAACTAATGAAACAACACACTTTACAATAGCCACAAATAACATACAATACCTTTGCATAGATCTAATCAAGACAGTAAAAACCTGTATGACAAGAACTTCAAGTCTCTAAAGAAAGAAACTTAAGAAGATATAGAAACTCAAAAACTCCCCTGTTCACGGATGATTAGGATTAATATAGTAAAAATGAATTCCAATAGGAATCTACAGATTCTGGGTAAATCCCATCAGAATTCCAAAAAGTTCCTTACAGATCTTGATAAAGCAATTCTCAAGTTCATATGGAAAAGCCATAAACCAAGGACAGCTAAAACATTCCTGTACAATAAAAGAATTTTTGAAAGTATCACCAGCCCTGATTTCCAGCAGGAATGCAGAACAATTATAATAAAAACTGTATGCTTTTGGTATAAAAACAGATACCTTAATTAATGGAATAGAATAGAATCCCGGAAATAAACTTACACAATGATGGTCACTTGATGTTTGAGAAAGAAGCCAAAACTATACAATGGAAAAATGAAATACCTTCATCCAATAGTGCTGCTCTAGATGGATGTCTATTTGTACAAGAATGCAAATAGACTCATAACTACCACTTTGTACAAAACTCAAGTTCAAGTGAATCAAACACCTCAACATAAAAACAGACACACTACATCTAACAGAAATGAAAGTGGGAAACTGCATTGAACTCATTGGCATGGGAGACAAGATCCTGAACAGAACACCAATATTTCAGGCACTAAGATAAACAATTAATAAATGGGCCCTCATTAAAATGAAAAGGTTTTGCAAGGCTAAAGACACCATTAATAAGACAAAATTGCAGCCTAAAGCACGGGAAAAGGTCTTGATCAGCTCTATATCTGATAGAGGACTAATATCCAAAATAAATAAAGAACTCAAGAAATTAGTCATCAGCAAACCAAATAATCCTATTAAAAATGGGGTACGGAGTCAAAAGCAAATTCTCAGCAAAAGAATCTCAAATGGCCAAGAAGGGCCTAAAGAAAATTTCAACATTTATAGTCATTACAAAAATGCAAAATAAATGAACTGTGAAATTCCATTTTACTCAAGTGAAAGTATGTACTGGCAAGGATATGGAAAAAAGAAACCACTCCCTTATTGTTGGTGGGAGTGCAGACGTACACAACCACTTTAGAAATAAATTTGGAAAGTATATATATATATATATATATATATATATATATCACATGGACATCTGAGGGCCACTAATTTGGTAATGCAGAAGTAATGAATATGTGAAGAAATATGTCAAGTGGTACATGGGGGAAATTATATATATACATATATATGGAAATTATATATATATACATATAAATTTATATATATATGTATATATATACACATATATATATGTATATATATGTGTGTGTGTGTGAAATATGTATATTATATTCAATAATCTAGGCTATTTTGATTACGTCTTGCTAGCACACACTGGGAGATAGCATAATCAGTAAAGTACTGGGCTTAAAAGCATGAGTATCTGAGATCGATCCCTAGGATCCACATAAAAGGGCCAGGCACAGGACATACCTTTACAGTTCCAGCACTAGGTAAATAGACACAAGAGGATCTCTGAAGCACACTGGTACTCAATCTAGCAAGCAAATGAGAGACTGTCTCAATGAAGGTGGATGGCATTTCTGAGAAGGATACTGAACATGATCATTTGGCTGCTTATACACACAAAAGAAAGAAAGAAGAAAGAAAAAAGAAAGAAAGAAAGAAAGAAAGAGAAAGAAAGGAAGAAGAGAAAAAGAAAGAGAGAAAGAAAGACAGAGAGAGGGAGGAAAGGAGAGAGAGGGAGGGAAGGAGGAAGGAGGGAGGGAAGGAGGGAGAGGGAGGAAGGGAAGGAGGTAGGGGAGAGAGAAGGAGGGAGGGAGAGGGAGAGGGAG